ATTTTTAGAAATTTTACTTTTTTTAGACTGAAAGATATTTATTTAGAAACTGCATCATTTTATTTAAGTACAAAATAGTTGAATTTATTTCTGCGTTGAGCAATACGTGCAATAATTACATAACTGGCGATTCTGAAGTATACCAATTTACGCATAAATAAATTAAAATCGCCATAATTTGGCAAAAAGGGATCTTAAAAAATCCGATGTGTACATCGCATGACTTCCTTGTACGGAATATTAAATTATACGCAGTTTTTCATTTAAGGGGACTCATACACCTTAAAACCCATAAGATGTTCGAATAGGTGACTGTTGCAAGAATTGGGATAACTTATTGATTTTAAAAGCAATTACTACAAACTTTTTACAGCTGACTACGTATAATAGCTGCTTTCTGAAATAGTAATCAGAAAGTTTGTGTTGCCAGAAATATTTTTATAATTTAATCCGCTTTGTGACAACATTTTTCGTAATGTTTCCAACTTGCGCGTGCAGTTTAAAACATTTTCTGTTCTAATTTAATTCCATATTTAATATATAGCTTTTATAACATTTGGAAACTATTGTGAACCTAAAATTTAAAAAATTTCATGTTAAATTTTTATTTTATTTTGAGTTGAGTTTATAAAATGTATTTTATTTAAAAAATTTTTAATGTTTTCACTCATAAAATTTTTCAATATTAAAATATTCATCAGATTTTTGGTTCAGTTAGAAAATAGTGCCCATATAAAGAATTCCATCCAATTTCAAGTATGTACCATTAGCCATTTTTAAAATATCATGCGCGCAAGGTGGAAACACTGCGAAATATTTTGTCACAAAGAGGATTAAATTACAAAAATATTTGTGGCAACACAAACTTTCTGGTTACTATTTTCCAAAGCAGCTATATTATGTAGTCAGCTGTAAAAAGTTGGAAGTAATTGCTTTTAAAATAAATAAAATATCCCAATTCTTGAAACAGTCACATACTCGAAGATCATGAGGGGTTTAAGGTGTATGAGTCCCCTTAAATTTATTCCTCCACTTTCATTAGAGATATATTTCTCATGCAATTAATTCAGTTCTCACTTCGCGACAAAGCAAACTTACATAAAACCTCAAAATATCTTTATTAAAAATTGAAAAAAAATAGAAAAACATAAAACACCGAATACAGTTAAAGCAATTGAAAAACAATTTTTGCAATTAAAAGATTTTCTACGCAAAAACAATCAGCTCGGCCAGCGGGCAAAAAAACAGATTTCTCGGTGCGCAAAACTGAAAGTTTTCTTTTGGTCCCACTCGGCAAAAAGACACTGAAGGTGCAGAAACTGACTTAATTCAATATTCTGCACATATGGCTGCTGCGGTAAAAAAAAAAAAAAAAAAAAAAAAAAATAGGCTAAGCCACACTTGAGCAGCTTTTATATTGTTGACAATTCTATGACTATTCCATACAGATTACTAAAGTCATAAAAATCTTAAAAGGAAGAGAAGAACAATATAATTGAATCATTTCAAAGGAAAAAATACACAATTTACCAACATATAAGAATAAATAAACTGAGCTCACGGAGCCGAATAACAGTTTCAGTGCACTTGTATTTATAAATATATATATATTTATGTACTTTTGGTGCGGCCGATTGCAACCATAAAGAGATGTGCACAACTGCATGCTGTATCATATACGACATGCCAGCGTTCTGAGGCTACTGGTTTCTTGAGTCATGCGAGATGCATGCATACATACGTACAGACGTCACAAAAAATCTCTTCTGAATCTATTTTAAATCCTTTTTCCACCCCGTTTTGGAGAAAAGTGTCCTTCATTCTGTCTTTAAGTACAGATGTCAAGCAAAAACATCGTTAAATTGCATTTGATAGCGGTCAAAATGGATATTTTCGCTGAAATAGGACACCCGAAAATTTTCGCGATTGCAATACTTCCTTTCCTTCGTGCAAGGAAGTAAACAGAATAAAATTCTTTTTCAACATTGATTAATATTCGCTATCGATTTCATCTTTACATTCTTAGAGCTACTTACCATATTTGTTCTTGAATTTTATAAAGTTAGATAAGACTGTTTACAAACTAATATTAGATTTCATACGAAGAATTTTATCCGCGTACTCAAAGTATATTTCAAGTGAAAATAAAATTCTCAAGCAGAGAAATTTCTTTACGGTTTTGCATTCCAAACATATTTTTTAAAAATATTTTTATCCATGAATTTTATAAAATCATAACTACTCCAAGAACGAAGTAACTGAACGACTAACCCCTATAGGTGGATGTTTCTCAATATACGTGGTGGAAAAACATTCGGAGTTCAATAACAATCCCAAATATTTGCAAGGCTTAAAGATAATAGTATATTTTATTATTTGCTACTAAATTAAACAGAAATCCGTTGAAAAACTTTTTTATACTTAATTTCATATGCTAATATAATGCATAGCATAGCATAGCAGAAACTGGATTATGCATTAATTTTGGAACTATCATTGTACAATTAAAAGAGGAGACAGATAATAAAAACACCTTCACCCCTCCCTATAGATATGAGCAAATCGATAACGAAAATCCATTTTTAACATAATACGTTTTAACATCGAGAACAGCTTGAAAACTGATCATATTACAGCTTTTTAGTACACATTATCGTGGGAATTAAATATTTCAAAAAATTTAAATAAATGAAGTATTTAAAAATATTATTAAATATGAATTATTATTAAATATTTAAAAGAAATCGAAAACAGCATTTATCTGCGATACGATAAATAAGATATTTTTGCATTTTCTGCAAAGTGCTTTAATTTTCAAGCTAACATACATACAGACATAACATACATCATATGTGATGATTTATTTTGTTGAAGAGAATATTAGAGCTTGATTAGGGAATGCACCAAATCACGTTTTAGTCACGGCGGCCGAAACACCTGGTGCCTAGATTACTGGAAATTTCAATGTACTGGATGACAGGAGGGAAGAAACACGAACAGCTTTGTAGTTAAATATCATTTATATCTGGAGGACTAATTTCTTAGCACTTATCATCTCAATTGGCAGAACGCCCTACAATTTCAGACATGCAGTTTATATTTTATCTAAAAGATATAAGTGACACGTTGCCAGCAAGAAGACGAAGAGTTGAAAGAGAATGCGTAGTGAGTTGCGGTACTATTTATAAGCTTGGAACGTCTTTGTTTTAATCCTGAGCAGCTAATGGGCAAAAGATTTCGCATTATAGTTACTGCAGGGAAAGCGTGATGTAATATAGTGCACCACGGAGGCTTGCAGGAGTGATGTATGCAATTATATTTAAGAATTTAAAGGACCATTTCAATTAAGTTTAATTTAGTAATTTTTTCTATCTTACATATTTATCTTTACACACAGACTTTACAAATATGTCTGTGTGTAATAGATTTTGAAGATATAGCTGTAATAGACTAGGGGAGGTTTGTTGCGTATGACAGACTTGCAGACAAACATCACCTCAGAATCATAACCTTTTATTATCGAATAACACTATTCTTTAGATGCACAATCTGCTTCACTCATTATTATGGGCACGCTGTGCAACCCACAATTCTTTGGAAGCTTATATCTTAAGACAATGAATGGATAATAAATTAATTAACCACAACATGTTAGTTGCAAGGTTATTTTTCTTCCTCTGTGAATTCTTTTTGTTTATTGAACTGCATCAGAGGCTGGCAGAAAACAGAAAATGATGCTTGAAAGAGTGACTAATAATCAAGTTTCTTCCAAATAATATAATAGTTTACATAATTTCAAACACTTTTGAAATTAGTAGAGACACTAATCTATTTAAATTTCTCTTTAATATTAATCATTTCACGAATAAAGGAACTAAGCTTAAATATTGAAAAATGAATCACTCATCGAATGTATTTCCTCTACCTAATGGGTTTTTTTCGTAACATTTTTCTTCGCCGCTTTCAGTAAGAATGCAGTATCTAATGCTTATAATGTGCCAAAATACTTCCTAAGGGACTGCTCACGTTATCGTAAAATTTCTGGTCAGTAACAGGCTGTTAGTAGTTAAGAAGCAATCGCGAAGGGCCGCCAAATTTATATTAATTGATAATTTTAAATAGAGTAAACCCACCATAAATATATGCTGTGTCTAAAAGATAAGGCAAGACAAAAGATCCAAAAGTTCAGGTGAAGTGGGTTCCTTACATCATAAATCTACCACTGTCATCAAGTTTTGGGGAGTCAAAAGTTACAGGTGGTGTCTTGACAGCACGGAGGCCATCTCCTGAATATTCCACATTATTCAAAGACTGATAACTGAAGAGATATTTATATATTATACAGGGACTGTCAGGCACATTTTTAACATATTTTACAAAAATAAGGTACACATTTGAGAATTTTATTTCGTATGCATAATCATACATACTAATAATCTTCAACTTTTATAAGATTGGCACCCAATTATAAAATAAAATGTTTTGCAGGCGGAATCACATGCCATTATTTGAAAAAAAAAATGTTTAAAATCATGTTTCAGCTAACTTTTAAAAAAACAGTAGTTTATTTGCATGCGATAATACTATTATAACAACTGAAAAAGAAATTTCAACCAGAAATCTTGATATGGGATGTATCAAAACATGTAAACATTATTAACAGAAAATTTCCGCGATTTTTCTAATTAGATTTTAGAGCATCAAACTAGATCAAAACCTTTTAGCCGCTAACACAAAATTCAAAAAGGTTAACAAAATTTCAACATTTATAAATATTCACAAACTTCTAAAAGGCACTAAAAATATTTTCCACAATTTCTATTAGTTTTTATTTAAAATATTTTACAACTGTAATAATCACTGGAAAGGATCATAGTTACAAACGTTTTTATTTACATGATAAATAAGTATTTCTCTAAATTATCTCTTTATTTTTTTTAATGATGCGAAATGGATTACAGTCATTTGTAAATTAAAGAAAAATGAAAACCAAAACTTACCTCGAACTGTAGATATCGTTAACTTGTTGCTTTTCGCTCTTTTCCAGCAAACTTCCCGTCGGAGTGGTAAAAGTGCCGTATTCTTTGGCATCGTGATTAGATGCGTGCTGCTTGTCCCCCATTATGTACACAAAAGGACTTTAACTGTATCGTTTATACAGTTTTAATAACTTGTGACCCCTGATAGCGGATAACTTTTGAGTTGAACTTTGCCGTACCGGCGAAACAATGCTAACTTCTTTCTGTCTGCATGGAGAATCAACTCGTTTATTGCAACCGTAGAGAGGAGAAATGCGATTCCAACCGTTTGGCGACGTATCGCTTCTTCGTGATAAAATTGTGATGGCGTTTACTTATCTTGCTGCAGACGGTAGCACGTACTTCACAGTTACAGAGTGCGATCTTTGACCCTTTTTGTACGTGATACATGCTATGCTGTTTTTTATAGCTTCAATTTCGAAGTTTAGAGCCTCATTTAAATTAGCCTGTAATCGGTTTTATGTAAAAATGTTTCTAATTTCTGAAACAGTGATTATTAAAAAAATTCAAACTGTCTCTACTGAAGTTAAAAAATTAAAATTTAATAAATACTAATTTACACTCATGTATTTAAGTGAACGAAATTCAAAATAACTGGAAATTTTAATCTGAGGACAGAGAGGTACTGTCGCATTTTACGAAGAAATCACAATTTCTGCAAGCCGTATTTAAACCTCATTTTAAAATATTGTTTTTTCTCATTTTTATTTCATATTCCATTCAATAACTATCAAATAAAAATATGTTAAAATTCTGAAAAATCCGAACGATATATTATATAAGACTATTGCAGTGGGAAAGCAACCGAATAATAAATACTGTGTAAACAGCATCTTCAAATGAGCATAGAATAAATTAAAAACCTTCATCGTATTTCCCCGATTCCAACTTAAGATTTGAAGAGTATTATTAATGTCTTCTAGTATGTAACTGCATCAAAACTTAAAAATAAAGTGTGTAGAGTGAGCAATATATTTTCTACTTATCCATATTATCTAAACCATCCAGGAAACAGAGATTAGCAGTTCTTAGAAGAAATGCTGAAGCGCAGACCAGCACAGAATCGCACAAATTTTTTACTTCTTTTACGTTAAACCTATGAATCATTTACTGCTGCCATTTAACGAAAATAATTCTCTAAGCTAAATTAAAGTAAAAGAAAAATAAGTATATAGGTGTCATACTAATATTCTTCAAATGAAATTAAAATATTAAAGAATTTTTAAATCTAAATTAGGCACTGATAAATGTATACATAAATATGAATGTACTGATAAATGTATATATACTAAACACTAGCAGTTATGTTTGCAATGCACAATAATTATTTTTCATGTAAGGGAGTTTTTTGTGCCAACAGCGACGTATTGCTCTAGAGCAGCGGTTGTCAACTCTTAGAACTTCACGGACCACTACATATATAATTTTACATTTGGCGGACTACTAATATGAATTTAAAAAAAGAAAAAAAAAAGGTAAGTACATTTATACAATAATAATCAGCAAACTGCACATATTTCGATCACATTGAAAAATTATATGAAAGTACAAAAATCTTAGCTTCTTGTACAGAAAGCTTCACATTTCCATATCATTGAAAAGGAACTTCACGAAAAGCAAGAATAAACCGGTAAATACCAAGCAATATCAATAAACTGATAGTGCTATGCCGCCAGTTTTTAATTATTGTAAGCATAATAATCATCGCTTACTCAGCAATGGCACCATCGATCAACAGTTTGACAAAACAAAAGCAGAAACTTCCAGTGATGCAATTATAAACAAGAATGCAGATGGTTCTCATTAAAGTCCATCAAGTTGCCTATTGAAACGGAGGAAAACTGTGTTAGTAACGATTACAATAGCATATATTTGCAATTCAAAAGTAAAGAGAATTCCAGTTCGCGCTATTATTAATAACAGCAGCATATCCATGGATGTCATTTCTCACTTTCAAATGTCGCTAGCTACACCTGCAAAAGTAGCTAAAGAGTCGCTAAATTCAGAAGGAATTTATCTAAAAGTAGTAGCTATAATTTAAAAAAGTATAAATCCATATTCTATAATAGATTTTGTTACTCGTCATGTTTTAAACTGAATCTTCATAAAAATATAAATAATGTCCTAATTTTTCTGCGGACCATCAAAAAGGTTTTACGGACCACCAGTGGCCCGGGGACTACGGGTTGGCGATCGCTGCTTTAGAATGTTGCTTAGCTTAAAAAAGTTGAAAGTATTTTATTGGAGGATGGAAAGCTTTCAAAATTAATATTGTTGAAAATAAAGCGAAACATATTGTAGAATGTGAGGAGTTAATCAGAAATGAATTATTTCATTTAAAGAACATGATGGTTTGATAAATAAAGAATTTGATGATGCTGAAACTTATATTGATAAACAGAGATTATTGGAATCTAAGCTTTCAGCCTTATTAGTTATTGTAGATCGTAACTCTGCTATCCCAGTAAATAGAGTTTCTAAAAACGCAATTCTTTGCTATCCTAAACTAAAACTGCGATTCTTTTTGTCAATATTAAAAACTGGTTAGGCCTTTTGGGGACAATTTAAGGAGATGAATAGTCATCCAAATTTAGAGGATAATCAAAAAAATTTGCGTATTTACTGCAGTCAGGCAGAAAGGATCGTCTGCTGAGGAACTTGTTAAGAGTCTTCTCCCTAGCGGTGAACGCTTTAGCAAGCTTTAGAGCAGTTATAAGCTCATTATGATAAAGAAGACCTTTCAACAGAAGTCTATGTTACGGATTTACTTTCTTTAGTTTAAGAAAAAAATTCAAATGAGAAGTTTTCTTTGAGGAAATTATACGACAGTTTGAAATTAAAACTTCGTGTTTTAGAAATTCTCGGCGTTGCGATAAATAAATACGCCTTATTGTTGTACCCCCTGGTAGTTTCATAATTACTTAATGGAACTTTTCGTTCGTAGAAAGTTTCAGAGCTTTTGATCGAAAGCGCAGAGAATCTAAATCAGATAAGGGAGATGATGATCAAAATAATAGAGATTCCTCCTATCGAATCGATTTAGATGGGTTACTTTTATTTTTACTTCATAAAATTGAGGAGAGCAGCGAGTGTCTACAGTCAGTAAAGGCTTTGGAACAAATCAGCCGTTTACAAATTATATCCCCAAAATTACTGATTTTTAAAGAAGCTATATGTGCAATTTCAAGTCAAGATGTTATTTGACGTAATGTACTGGGGAATTATTCAATGAATATTATAAATGAAATTCAAAAATATTATTAGTCTTAATGATCGAAATTCTAGTCCTATTCAAATCTTAATATGAGCTAATATAGCGGATTAGTTAATGACAAGGCTTCAGACTTCTAACTTTGCGGCTATAGAGGCGAAATTATATTGGAATCTCATGGGTAAAAATGGCATTTCAGAGATCTCGGATAACTCAAAATTATTATTAATATCAGTGCTAAATAACGAAATGTTAATATCTGACTTATGGTGTCTTGATTTGATAAGTATTTCAAATCTTTCTGAAAAGATAAATCAATTAGAGTTGAAAGAGATCATTTCTTAAACACAGAGTGAATGATAAAGTTCGTTTTCATGTAAACTTATCATGGCTCTAAAACCTGTACCTTTTGAACATGAAGGCTAAAACCTGTACCTTTTGAAACCTGTACGCTGTCAAAATAAATTTAGCTACTAAAGTATTAAATAATACAGTCAAACGACTGAAACTAGAAAAATCTCTATGAAGGTTATGGGGGAATATTAAAAGTACGGGAAAACTAAAAGTGACCCCACATAGTGAAATTGAGTTACAGGGCAATTATTTACCTCGTCATCACGTTGTAAAAAAAAAACGCTACTACAAAAATTAAACCTGTTCTTGATGCTTCAGCGAAGCAGAAAAGAGTGCACAATCTTAATGATTGTAATTAAAAAGGAATGAATCACATTGAATTAATTCCTTCAACTCTTTATAGATTTCACGTGAAGCAAGTTGGAGTTAAAAATCTGATACTCGTAAGGCCTTTTTACAAATATGCGTCCCTTCTAGGGACAGAGATTATGTACGATTTTTGTAATACAGATTTTATGGAAAATTAACGTACGTCAGACAGTGTGAAATCGTTTCTGGCATTTCATGTAGGCCATTTTTGCTTGACTCTGTGATTCATTATCATTTCGAATCCACTTTGAATAGAACGAGTGAAGAAAATTATAAGCATTCTTGGAAAACAGTAGAAGAGCTAAAAATGGCTTTTATGTTCAGCTAGCGTCAGTAGTGACGGGGAACTTCATCAGTTTGATACAAATTGCTATAGACATACAAGAGAAGAGAAAATTTGATTTTCGTGGTTGGGAATATACTCATCTTTTATGCTAACCCAACCAATCTGCTTAGAATGCATTAACAACGTAAAAGCGATATAATTTATCTAAATATCCCCATCATTATTGAAGACTTGCCTGAAAAGATAATTAAAAGAACAATTTTTACACCTCTAAGATATTTGATTCTCTTGGAATGTCTTCTCCAGTTACGTGCTCCCTTAAGCTTTCACTGCAACGCCTGTGAAAAGGGAACTCTCTTGAGATCAAGCAGTTGATGCAGAAACCGAGTCTGAATTATTTTCTCAAATAGCTTAAACCATTTGAGAAAGTTGAAAATACTGAGTGGATACACTAGAGCCGGGCGCACGCGTATTCGGCTTTAGCTTATCTTCGCATTGAAACTAAGATTTCTGTTCATATTCACTTGCTACAAGCTAAAGTGAAAGTAGCTCCGTGTGAAAAGCGAGAGGTTACAATAACAGGGTTAGAACTACTTGGAGCTACAATTTCAGTACATCTTTCTGCAAGGAAAGAATTTGATACCTTCTGAAGTTTATTTCTGAACCGATTCATTTATCGTAACATGGATGCAGCGCGATGAAGTATGGGATGTAATTTATTCGCAGCAGAGTTCAAGAAATTAGACAGTTAACTCTAAAAAAATTTTGGAGACATATTCCAGGAATATTAAATCCAGCCGATTTGTACAGCAGAGGTTGCTTTGCTCTATATTTAGTGGAATCAAAATGGTGGGAGGGATCCCGGTGACTATAAGATGAATGGCCAATGAATGATTTCACGAAGTGACGAAGAAGAAATTGCCAGAGAAAAGAAGAGGAAGATAGTTTCATCTATAATTAATGCCAATTCTTATTTTTTAAATATG